ATTTAAATGTAAATTGAATAGGAAAAAGAAAATAATAAAAAAAGTTTTTATAATTAAATAGAATAATTAAAGTCTTAAAAAATAAATATAGAAAATTTATAGAAACAAATATAAGATTTAAATAAATAAAATAATAAATTAAATTAAGAAAATATGAAATATTTTGAAGATATAAACCAATAATAATAAGAAAATAGACTTTTGATAGAAACTAATAATAAATTAGCAAATAATTTATAAAATAATGTAAAATTAATCCAAGAAAATAAATTTTTATAAGAAAAAATAATTAATATGGAAAAAAAATAGACTTTTAAATAAACGGAGTCGAATTATAACATTAGAATTAACTTCTTAATGATCAATGTAAAAATTTAAAGGCATAATGTGAAGATTTGACATTTAAATATTTAGAAATTAATAGTAAATTTTAAGAATAAAATTTGAATATTGATAATATATTAAAAGAAAATAATAAATTAAAAGAAGAATATTAATAGTTAAATTTAATTAAAGACTAGCTTTTTTAATTAAATGAATAAAATTAATAGTAAAATGAAAATAATAAAATATAAAATTTAAACTAAAAAATGTAAACTTAATAAATATAGGAATTAAATTAAAAAACATAATCATAAAATTTATAAATTAATTAGTATTCTTAATAAATATAAGGATAAATATCATAAATAAAATAATAATATTAATAAATAAACTAATAATCTTAAGAAATATAAAAATTAAATATAAAAATATAAGAATAAAATCAAAAAATACATTAATAAAGTGAAACTATATAATAATAAGATTAATAAATTAAAGAATTAAATTTATAAATATAAAGATTAGATATGTAAATATAAGAATAAGATTTTTAAATATAATAATAAGATTAATAAATATAGTAATATATTTAATTAATATAATAATAACCTTAAAAATAAGAATAGTAGATAAATATATAAGAATATTCTTAATAAAAAGATGAGTTAAATTAAAAAATAGAAGAATATAATTAAATAATATAAGAATAAAGTTAAAAAATATAAGAATAAAACTTAAAAAATATCGAAAATATATAAAAGAATTAAGAATTAAATTAAAAAAATAATGATTTGATTTTATAAAAGAAAGAAATATGTGAAAAAAACAAAGAATTATATTAAATTAATAAAGAATTATATAATTAAATTGAATAGTTTAAATAAAATAATGAAAATAAAGAAGTAAGAAAAGATGAAGATAATAAATTATAAAGAAAAGAATGTTAATGTGAAAAAATAATATTATATATGAAATAATTTGGAGATAATATAAATATTTAAGTCGATTAAATTAATATTGATATTTTTTTTGGAGAACTTTAAGAAGTTTTTGAAAAATAATAAAATTAATTATTTATATAGGATGAATAAATAAGTAATTTTTAATAATAATTATAAGAAATTTCATAAGAAAAATATATTTTGGAAATATTAATTTAATAATTAAGCTAATTTATTTAAAACGAATAAATAATTTCTTTGATTACATAATATTGTGAAGTTATTTAATTTATATTAAATAATGAATAATGTAATATAAATATATATATTATAATTTTGTAAAATATATTATTTATATATTTAATTAAGAAATTAAATTTATTTAAGAAGAGATCAAAGTAGAAAATATAGAAAATATATAATATAAATAAAAGATAGATTAAATAAACTTATAGAATAATGAATTACATTAAAAAAAATATGATATATAATTGGAATTATAAAAAATTTAATAAATTTATTTTAAATAATAAAATTAATAAGAAAACAATAAAGAAAGTAATTTAATAAATTATAATAAAAAAATAAATTAATTATATATTAACTTATAAAAGTATATTTAATATAAATGTAATTATAATAATAATAAAAAATAAATACAATATTCATAAATATAATATGTAATGAGAATAAAAAATATATATGAAAAAATTAATTTTATATATATATAATTTTATATTTTAATAATAAAAAAAATATATATTATTAAAATAACATTGTATTAACTTTTATTTATACTTAATAAAAAATATTAATATATTTAAAGATTTTTATTTAATAATTAAATTAAATTTTAAAAATAAAGGTAATGAATTAATTGATATTTAATAAAAAAATGAAAACGATTGTAATGATGATTTATATTTTTAAAAAAATAATGATCAATATTAAAATTATTATAGATATTAAATAGATAATTGATAATAATTTATTATATTATAGAAAAAAATATTTATTTTTTATGGTAAATATTTAATATTTATTTATACATAGGATAAAACAAATAAATTTATATATATATATATATATATATATATATATTTATATATTTATATATTTATATATTTGTTTTATAATATTTTATTTTTCACTCATTTATATTTAATTTATCTATAATATTACTTTATTTAAAAAAGAAATTTAATAAGCAATCTTCATCTTTAAAAACTTTATTTTAATTTTAATCTATTAAATATTTTTATGATACAATATAATTTAAAAAAGCTATAAATGTTTAAATAAAAATAGCATCTGCAAATACTAAAATAATATTATAAGTTGCCCAATCAAAATCTTTATTTATATCATTATTATTAAGATAAGGAATTAATAAATATCCTATAATGATTCCTTACGTAATAAAAACAAATATATTTCCGAACAAACCTCCCATTCTAGTACAGGGATTAAATATTCTAATAATTTTTTTAAAACATTTCTATGTAAATATACAACCTAATAAAACACCTGCAGAAAGCAGAATACTCTATAAAAATTTTAATATTTTTATTTTATATATTATAAATAACATTAATATTTTTTAATTATGAATTTTTATAATTTTTGGATAAATTGGTCAATAAAAAAAAAAAACTTTTTTAAATTTATTAGTTTTGAAAAAAAATTAGAAATATAAACAATAATTAAAAAAAATACATATTTAAAAAAAATTACTTAATATGTTAGATATAAAAATGATTAAATTAAAGTTAATTTAAAATAAATCAAAGAAGATCTTAAAGTTCTGCTCATTTAAGAATCATATAAACAAAATAAAGATATATATTCATTTCCTATGAATGTATAATAGCATTTTTTATTATATTACATTTTTTAGGCTTATTTAATTTGTTTTTATTTTTAAATCTATTAATTAATAGCTATTTCTATATAAAAAATTATAAATGAAAAAAAAAAATATATATAAAGATAAATATGTAAAAATATATATAATAATTATTTAAATATATTAATATATATATATATATATATATATATATATATAATATTTATTTACATGGTTTAAATTATCTTTCTAATATTTAATCAAATACATCTTCTTAATTATTATTATTTTATTCATGTTTTGTAATTTAAGTTTTGTCTGAAAAATACGATGGTTTTTTAGGTTCAAAATTACCATAATTTACCTATAGAGGTTAATAATGCTATTTATCTTTAATACCTATTTATTAACTATTGTTTCTATTTCTTAACTCTTTTACATCATCTAAATTTGTAGGTTAAAATGATATTCTTCTAGCATTTAAAGCATTTTCTTGCATATTAACATCTTTATTTATGTTGTATTATAATTGATTAGATATATTTTTTTCTCTTATTTATACTTGATCTGTTTTTATTTTATTTAAATTGCTATTAAATATAGTAGTAGGTGTTTATTAGTTATATATAGAACTTAATCTTGTTTTTAACATATTGTTATTAATATTTACTATTTCCAGTCTTTTTTCTTAATTACTGGGGCTATTATCTTCTACAGTGACTAATTTTTTTAAATTGTATTTTTTTTTTAAGCCTCCTTCTTCGAAATCTTCAATGTGTTTTTAATTTTATAATTCTTAGTTTTCTTCTAGATTACTTACCCTGTATAATTTCCTTTCATTATTTAAAATTTCCTGAGAATCTAGGACATATCCAATAAAAAAACTTATAATCCAGGCTATAGTTTAGACTGTGAATATATAAAAAACAGTACTTTCTAATACTGGAACTTATATGTCTATACAATCTTACAAAAGAGGACCTTTGCAGCCTAAAGAGGAACATTTTTCATTACATTTGATACATTTTAATTATATTTAATCTTAAAAATATGTACTTTAAGGACATATATCTACACAGGACTTCTCCTTTAGATATAAGGGCTTTATACAAGATAAACACTCAGTTTAGGACTCACATTCTTTACATTTTCCTGTACATTTTTAACATTCTAGTTTCTAAAGATCCTTATAATAATATTAAGGACAGGATTATTAACATTAAGAATTATATAAATAAGTATTTTAATAACATGATAAACAATCTATAGGATGTTTACCATTACAAGTTTAGCAAGTAGGATTACAAATTTATACAGTATTATCTGATGACTATATATAATAACCAAAAGGAAGTGATTATATACATGTATTAAAGAAAAATATAAAATTAAGTTAACATCTTTATATATATATATATAATATAAATATAACATATATGTATATATATAAATTTTTACGATAAACATTGGTTTAAAGCAGGACCATTGCATGTTAAACATGTATTATCACAAGATTTGCATTAATTGTCAGTTGAATCTCCATAGAAATAAATAGGACATTAATTTAGACATTATTTAAAATGTAAAAAGGATGTTATACATGAAATGCACTTTTAAATATATATATATATATATATAAATATTTTAGTTTTGCTTTTTATACTTAATTATTATTAGGACCTTCACAAGTTTCACATGTATTATTACATAAATCGCATTAATTATTTGATATATTTTCATATTTTCCTTTTGGGCACTGATTTATGCATTAATTTGAGTTTAAGAAAAGAGTTAAATTACATTATGTACATTAATTATTTGCTGGACCAGAACAATTAAAGCATGTAGTATCACATTGTTTACATTCGTTTTTATCTAGATAATATTTATCAAAACATCTATTATATATATATATTTTTTTTTATTTTTTTTTTAATTTACTCAATGCAATTATTAAAATTAGGCCCTGAACAATTTTTACATTTACTATGGCAATTACTACATTAATTATTGGAAATGTTTTTATATGTAGATAAGGGACATGTTAATAAGCATTAACCATTTGTTAAGAATCTAGTTCCTGTACATTATGTACATTAATTATCGAATAAATAAAAACAATTAAAACAATTAGTATGACATGCTTTACATTTATTATCTGAATCTAGAAAGCGATTATCAAAGCACTAAGTACACTTATCAATTTCGTTTCCTGTACAATTTTTACATGAAGAATCACATACAGTACATTAATTATTACTCGCATTTTTATAAAAGCTATCTGGACATGTACTCTAGCACATATTATTAATCAAAAATAAAGAACCAGTACATTGAATACAATTGTTAGAAAGAATTCCATTGCAATTAAAACAATCACTATAACAAGGAATACATTAATTATTTACATTTAAATAGTATCTATCATAACATCTAAATATATAATAAAAATATAAATAATTAAATATATATATTTTTTATATTTTATTATTTATTACTATGTGCACGAATTTATTGTAGATCCATTACATAATTTACATGATGTATGACAATTTGTACATTAGTTATTTGTCATATTTCTATATTAGCCGTCTGGACATGTACTTTAGCATTTTCCATTTAATAAAAATAATGTACCTGAACATTAAGTACACATATTATCATATTATCCATAACAGTTAAAACATGAAGAATGACAGGCTTAACATTCGTTATTAGCGTTTAAAAAAAAAGAATCGAAACAACTTTTTTTTTTAAATAAAAATCAATTATATATTTATATATATATTGTACCTTGTGCAAGATGTAGATGCTTAATCTGTGCAATTTTAACATGTAGAATGGCATGATGTGCATTCGTTGTTTGAAGTATTTTTCCAAAAACTTGTAGGACAATCAGACTGACACTTACTATTGGTTAAAAATAAATTCCCTGTACATTACGTGCATTAATTATAAGCAAAGCTTGTACAATTATAACATGTAACATTGCAGGCTTAACACGAATTATCTGTATGTAAGAAAAAACTATTAAAACATCTATTATATATATAATTATATTTGTTTGTCTAATTTATTATTTACTGATTGCATTAAGTAGTTAATGATCCTGTACAATTTTACATGAAATATGACATGTAGTACATAAATTAATAACTGTATTTTTATATGTGCCACTCGGACATGTACTTAAACATCTATTATTAGTCAAAAAAAAGGTTCCTGTACATTATGTACAATTAGTATCTGCATTTGCAGAACAATTAAAACATGTATTATTACAAGGTTGACATCTATTACTAGAGTCTTTATAAAAATTATCAAAGCATCTATATTTAAATAAAATATTATAAATATAAATATAAATATAAATATAATATAAATATATATATATATATATATATTTTTAAAGAATACCGAGAACATTGAGTATAATTAGGACCTGTGCAATCATTACATGAAATATGACAAGCAGTACATTAATTATTAGCGACGTTTTTGTAAAATCTTGTTGGACAAGTATTTAAGCATTCACTAGTATTTACCAAAAAACGGCTTCCTGTACATTCATTACATTAATTATTCAAATTTCCAAAACATTTATAACATGTAGAATCACATGGTTTACATTCATTATTTGAATTTAAATAAAATCCTAATTCACATCTAGTATATATATAAATATATAAATTTAATATATATATATATGTATATATGTATAAAATAATTTTATATATATTTAAATTTTATTTATATATATATTTATATATTTTATATATATGTTTACAATGTACAATCTGTAGAATTCGGCCCTGTACATTTTTTACATGATTGATGACAAGAAGTGCAGTTTTAATTTGTAGTATTTTTAAATGTATCATCTGGACATGTACTTAAGCATTAATTAGAAGTCAAAAAAAGAATATTTCCAAGTTCACATTAATTACAATTATTGTTCGCACTTCCCGTACAATTAAAACATGTATTATCACATAATTTACATTAATTATCTAATGTATCGAGATAATTATTATTAAAGCATCTATTTTTTTATATTTAAATTACTATATTTTATAATATATTTACTCAGTGCATTAATTTATTGCTGAATTAGTGCAGTTTTTACATGTAGTATGACATTATACACATTAATTATTTAACATATTTTTAAATTTTCCTTATGGGCAAATATTTTTGCATTAATTATTGTCTAAAAATAATTAACCAGCACATGCTGTACATTAATTATTAGCTGCTCCTGTGCAATTTAAACATGTAGAGTCACATGCATAACAATAATTATCTGGCCCTTTATAATTATAATCAAAACATCTAATATATAAAATATATGTAAATTGCTATGTAGTTTTTTAAATATTAATACTCTGAGCATTTATTAATAAAAGAATCTGTACAATTTTTACATGAAGTATGGCAAGCTGTACATTAATTATTTAAAGTATTTTTAAATGTACCAGTTGGACATGAACTTAAACAATAGTTATTTGATAAAAAAAGAATTCCGGTACACTAAATACATTAATTAGATAAACTTCCGCTACAATTAAAACATGTTGAATCGCATGGTTTACATTTTCCGTCTATATCTTTAAAATATCCATCAAAACATCTAATTAGAAATATTTAAATACAATTAAATATATATATATATATATATATATTTATATACTCAGTACAATCAGATATATTTATTCCTGAACAATTCTTACATGTAGTATGACAATTTGTACATACTTTATTTATTGTATTTTCATTTTAACCAACTGGACAATCAGTTAAACATTAACCATTTGATAAAAATAGTGTACCTCCGCATGAAAGGCAACTATTATTATTTGCATTTGAACATGTTAAGCATGTACTATGGCAAGCTAAACATTAATTCGATGTTAAATAATAATTAATATTACATCTATATAGATATATATATGCAAATGTTTAAATTTATATATATATATATATATATATATATATATATATTATTTAATAATATTACTATGTGCAATTATTTTAATTTGGTCCGTTGCAATTTTTACAAGTAGAATCGCATGGGGTACATTATTAATTTATTAAATTTTAATAAGTGCCGGTAGGACATGAATTTATGCACTAGTTGTTTGATAAAAAAAGAGATCCTACACATTATGTACATTAATAATTTTAACTTCCTGTGCAATTATAACATGTAGTATCACATGCTTTACATCTACCATCTATGTCTTTGAAAAATAAATCGAAACATCTATAATATATATATATATAAATAAATTAATTATTTATATATATGTAAATATATAAATTTAAAAATTAAATTTACTCTGTGCATTAACTATCTTATTAATTAATACAATTTTTGCAAGATAAATGGCAGGCTGTGCATTCATTATTAGTCGAATTTTTAAATGTATTATTTGGACATGTATTTAAACATTAATTATTAGTTAAATATAAATTTCCAGTACACTATGTACATTAATTATTCGAATTTCCTGTGCAATTAAAACAAGCAGAATTACATGATAAACACGTACCATCAGAATATAAATATTTTTAATTAAAACATCTTTTTATAAATTTGTTAAATATATTTATTTATTTATTTATAAAAATTTAATTTTTTTTTTTTTATTTATATTTAAATAAATTTTGTTATATTTATATTTTTTAATACTCAGTGCATTAATTAATATTTGGTCCTATACAATTTTTACAATTTGAATGGCATGCATTACAATGGTTATTTATATTATTTTCATATTATCCTTCAGGACATATACTAAGACATTTATTATTTGTTAAATATAGAGAACCAGTGCATTAAGTACATTAATTTTCTAAGCTTGATGTACAATTAAAACATGTTGAATGGCATTAATAACATTAATTACTTTATAAATAAAATCTATCTAAACAACTTTTTTTTTTATTAAATTAAAAATTTTAATTATTTAAATAAATATTTAATTTTTATATTTTTTTAATAATTTAATTTATTTTTTTCCTATAAATTTTTTATTGACATTAAAATGAATTATAACCATAAAATTATATTATTAATTTTAAATTAATATTTGATTTATTTATATAAATTAGTAAAAGGATAAAAAACTATTTCGAAAATAATATATATAGTTTTACTCAGTACAATCAGAAACTAAAGGTCCTGAGCAATTTTTGCATAAACTATTACAAGGACTACATGTATTATTTGTTGAATTTTAATATGTACCGTTTGGGCATTAAGCTAAACATTAATTATTTGTCAAATATAATCCTGAAGTACACATAGTACATTAAGTAGCTGTATTTCCTGTACATTATAAACATGTAAAATAACATGGTTTACATGAATTATCAATATCAAGGAAATAATTATTATCGCATCTAAAAAAATAAATATAAATTTATATTAGTATATATTTACTCAGTGCATGAAGTAGTAGTACTTCCATTACAATTTTTACAAGTAGTACTACATGCAGTACATATATTTGTTAAACTTGCTTTATATTTACCTTTATCGCATAAACTTATGCATTAATTTCCTTATAAAAATAAATTCCCAGAACATGAACTACAATTATTAGCAGAACTACCAGAACAATTAAAACATGAGCTATGACAACTCTAACATGAAGTTTCAGATAGGTAATAATTATTTATACATCTTAGAATATATTATATAATTAATAATAAAAAATAGACATATATATATATATATACGATTAACATTCATTAGAAGAAGGTCCTGTGCATGTTTTACATAATATACTACAACTAGAGCATTCTCTTAATGATAAATTTTAGTATTTACCGTCTGGACAGAAATTTTAACATTAGTTGATATTCAAAAATGTAGTATTAGAACATTATATACAATTAGTAGCTAAATTTCCATTACAATTAAAACACGTTGGGTGACAGGTTTTACATGAATTATCAATATCTAAATAAAAGGAAGTATAACATCTAAAAATAATATTTATATATATATATTTGTATATAAAAATATATATATATATATATATATATATATTATAAATTATACTCTGTGCATTATGTTGAACTTGGGCCTATACATTTTTTACATTAAAAATTACATGCTTCACATGTGTTATTTTACATATTTTTATACTTTCCATCTGTGCAAGTATTAACGCATTCATTATTGTTTAAAAAAAGTGAACCTATACATTATATACAATTATTATATTGATTTCCTGTACAATTATAACAATTTGAATTACAAGATTAACATGAATTATCTTAGGCTTTATACATTCCTTAATTGCATCTTTTATTTATTATATAAATATATAGATTAAAAATATATATATATATATATATATATATATATATATATATATATATATATATAGTTTTAATACTCTGTACATGAAGTTGCATTAGAATCAGTACAATTTTTGCATGAAGTATGACATGCAGTACAAGTATTATTACTATTTTTTTAAAAATAACCATTTGGACATATACTTATACATTAATTATTATTGAAATATAATGTTCCAGTACATTAAGTGCATTAGTTATTTAGGTTCGCTGTACAATTAAAGCAAGTACTATCACAAGCTTTACATTTTCCGTCTGTGTCCTTATAATATTAATCAAAACACCTATGTAATAATATATATATATATATATATTTAATTTATATATTTATTACTCTGTGCATTATGTTTCTAATTAATTAATACAATTTTTACAAGAAATATGACATGCTGTAAATACATTATTTGAGCCTTTGAAAAAACCAGCTTGAGCTGCACTTAGACATTCATTATTAATCGTCAAATATAGTGATCCTGTACACTAAGTGCACTAAGTATTTAAATTTCCTGAACAATTAAAACATGAATTATCACAAGATTAGCAAGAACCTGAATCTAAAAAATTTCCATCATAGCAACTATATAAAAAATTATTATTTATTAATTATTTTTAATATAAATACGATATGCATTATGTATTAGTAGAATTATTACAATATTTACAAGTATTAGCACAATTAGAGCATTGATTATTTAAATTATTTTTAAATTTTCCAACGGGACATATAGATATACATTAACCAGAATTTAAATATAGAATACCTGAACATTATGTGCATTAATTAAAGGCTGATCCACTGCAACTAGTACATGTAAAATGGCATTTATAACATTAATCATCTGTATCTTTAAAATAACCTCCTGGACAACTATAAATAATAAATATATATAAATATAAATAAACACATATATATATATATATATATATATATATATATATATATATATATATATATATATATATATATATTACTCTGTACAATCTGTAACTAAAGGTCCGTCACAATTAGAACATGAAGAATTACAAGCATCGCATTAATTATTTATTACATTTTTATATTTACCAGATGAGCAATTGGCTAAACATTAATTATTTTCTAAAAATAAATTACCTGTGCATTTTATACATTGATTAGATTAATTTCCTGTACATAATAAACATGTCATATCACAGGTTTTACACATTTTGTCTGTATCAAGAAAAAATGTATCTATACAACTATTTAAATATAATTATATATATATATATAAAATAAAATAAATAATACCTTAAACATTAATTATTTGATGAACCATTACATGTTTTACAAGAATTATCACATAATGAACATTAATTATTTATAGTGTTTTTATATTTACCATCAGGACATGTACTAACGCATTATTTTTAAGCATTCAAAAATAAAGATCCTGAACATGAGAGACATCCAGAAGCTGTATTATCATCACAAGTTAAACATGTATTATTACATTCATTACATTAATTATTATTTAAATAGAAATTATTATTGCAACTAAAAAATTTATATATATATATATATATATAAGATTATATGAAATAGCATTTACTCGATACAATTAGTAGACAAAGGTCCATTACACTTTTTACATGAAATGTCGCAAGAAACGCATGAATTATTGCTCTTATATTTTCCATCAGGACAAGTACTTAAACATTAACCAGATGCAGTTAAAGCTAATAATCCTGTACATTAGGAACATTATGTAGCTGAACTTCCTGTGCATTAATAGCATGTAGTATCACATGATTTACAGAAACTATCTGTATCTTTAAAAAATGAATCACTGCAACTTTTAAATTAAAATATTATTAATTTTTATTTTTAATTTAAATATATTTTACAGAGTGCATTAAGAATTAGAGCCTCCTGTACAAGTTTTACATGATGTATGACATGTAGTGCATTAATTATTAGTTGCATTTTTATAGGTTTCATCAGGACAAGTACTTAAACATTCTTTTGAAGTTGTCAAAAATAAAGAACCAGAACATGATAGGCAACCTGTTGCGTTTGCATTTTCACAAGTTAAACACGTAGAATGACATGATTAGCATTCATCATTTGTGTTTTTAAAAAATGTATTAAAACATCTAAAAAAATAAATAAATATATTTTAAATAATAATTTATAGTTACTCAGTACAATTAGTAGATAAAGGTCCACTACAATTTTTACATTAAGCATTACATGAAACACATAAGTTATTGCTTTTATATTTTCCATCAAAACAATTACTTACACATTAATTAAATGAGTTTAAAGCTAATTAGCCACTACATTCAGTGCATTATGTAGGCAAACTTCCTGAACATTAAAAACATGTAGTTTCACATGGTTTACATAAATTATCTGTATCTTTAAAATAAGAATTTTAGCAACTTTTAATAAATAAATTAATTTTAATGTAAAAATATTATAATAAATATATATATATATATATATATATATATATATATATATTTCTTAAGACATTATGAATTTTAAAATCCAGTACATGTTTTACAAGAATTATCACATGATGAACATTAATTATTTATAGTGTTTTTATATTTACCATCAGGACATGTACTAACGCATTATTTTTAAGCATTCAAAAATAAAGATCCTGAACATGAGAGACATCCAGAAGCTGTATTATCATCACAAGTTAAACATGTATTATTACATGCATTACATTAATTATTATTTAAATAGAAATTATTATTGCAACTAAAAAATTTATATATATATATATATATAAGATTATATGAAATAGCATTTACTCGATACAATTAGTAGACAAAGGTCCATTACACTTTTTACATGAAATGTCGCAAGAAACGCATGAATTATTGCTCTTATATTTTCCATCAGGACAAGTACTTAAACATTAACCAGATGCAGTTAAAGCTAATAATCCTGTACATTAGGAACATTATGTAGCTGAACTTCCTGTGCATTAATAGCATGTAGTATCACATGATTTACAGAAACTATCTGTATCTTTAAAAAATGAATCACTGCAACTTTTAAATTAAAATATTATTAATTTTTATTTTTAATTTAAATATATTCTACAGAGTGCATTAAGAATTAGAGCCTCCTGTACAAGTTTTACATGATGTATGACATGTAGTGCATTAATTATTAGTTGCATTTTTATAGGTTCCATCAGGACAAGTACTTAAACATTCTTTTGTAGTTGTCAAAAATAAAGAACCAGAACATGATAGGCAACCTGTTGCGTTTGCATTTTCACAAGTTAAGCATTTGCTATGACAATCTATGCATTAATTAGAATTTAAATATAATCTAATATTGCAACTTTAATGAAAATAATATAAATAAATATTAATAATTATAAACTATAAATACGATGTGCAATTATTATAAGAAGATCCATTACAAGTCTTACATGAACTATTACAAGGACTACATGCATTTATAATTTTAAATGTTCCGTCTGGACAAATATTCAAACATTATTTAGTTTAGGTTAAAGCTAGTTATCCTATACATTCAGTACATTAATTAGCTGAATTTCCTGTACATTAAAAACATGTAGTATCACAAGGTTTACATATATTATCTGTGTCTTTAAAAAATTAGTCGTTGCAACTAAAAAAAAGAAAAGCAAAAAAATTAAATTGATATTAATAAAAATACCTTAAACAATTTGAAATTAAACCTCCATTACAAGTTTTACAGGAACTATGACAACCCTCACATTAATTATTTGTTAAATTATTATATTATCCATCAATGCATCTACTTACACATTATTTACTATTATTTAAAAATAATGAACCGGAACATGATAGACAATCAGAACTTCCTACGCCATCACACGTTAAACAAGTATTATTACATGCTTAACAGGTATTAGAAGCAGTTTTAAAATATTAACTGTAACACTCAGTACAATTAGTAGTTAAAGATCCATCACATTTTTTACATAAAGAATAACAATTAGAACAACTATTATTTAATATATTTTTATAAGTTCCATCACTACAAATGTTTAAACATTAAAAATTTGTCAAAAATAAAGATCCTGAACATTAAATACATGTAGTTGATGAACCAGAACATTTAAAGCAATTAGAATCGCATTATAAACAATATCCTTAATCATTTAAAAAAAAACCATCAAAACAACTATAAATAAAAATATATATATAAATAAATATGTATTAATAAATATATATATATATTATTTAATAATATATATATAAAAAAATATATAATTATTTAATTATTTATATTTAAAAATATATAACAATATATATAATAATTTTTTATATAATTATATTTATTTTATATTTTTATATTATAATTAAGTATTTAAATTATTATATAATTTTTAAAATATTATATTTATGTAATTTTATTATTATTTTTTTTATTTATTTATTTACTTAGTGCATTAATTTATACTTGAATTAAAGCAACTTTTGCATGATGTATGGCAATATTAGCATTCTTTATTTGAATCAGCATATTTCTATGCTGGACAAGCATTTACACATTATTTACTGTTCAAATATTTAACAGCTACACATGATGTACAATCACTATTACTTGGTCCTTCACAATTTGCACATGCTTGATTACATGATTAACATATTCGATTTATATCAGGATAGTATTATGAAGGACAATTAGCTAAACATTATTTAGAATATAAGTATTTTAAATTACTACATGAAATACAATTACTACTACCTGAGCCATCACAATTCACACAAGATGTATCACACTATTAACAATGTTTATTCGCATCTGCGTAATCTCCATCTGAACAATTATCTACACATTGTTTACTTCTATTTAAGTATTTACTTGCTAAGCATGATGTGCAATTACTACTTCCTGAGCCATCACAATTCACACAAGATGTATCACACTATTAACAATGTTTATTCGCATCTGCGTAATCTCCATCTGAACAATTATCTACACATTGTTTACTTCTATTTAAGTATTTACTTGCTAAGCATGATGTGCAATTACTACTTCCTGAGCCATCACAATTCACACAAGATGTATCACACTATTAACAATGTTTATTCGCATCTGCGTAATCTCCATCTGGACAATTATCTACACATTGTTTACTTCTATTTAAGTATTTACTTGCTAAGCATGATGTGCAATTACTACTACCTGAGCCATCACAATTCACACAAGATGTATCACACTATTAACAACGTCTATTCGCATCTGCGTAATCTCCATCTGGGCAATTATCTACACATTGTTTACTTCTATTTAAGTATTTACTTGCTAAGCATGATGTGCAATTACTACTACCTGAGCCATCACAATTCACACAAGATGTATCACATTATTAACAATTTTTGTTTGTATCAGAATATTTTTAAGAAGGACAACTATCTAAACATTAATTTACATTCAAATATTTGTCATTAAGGCATGCTGTGCAACTAGATGTACCAGAAGCACTACATGAATAACATGGTGAAGTACACCCTACACAATTACTATTTCCATCATCATATTCTGTTTCAGTACATCTATTTTTAAAAATAATATTTTTATTGTCATTGTTATGTATTTTTTTTTTACACTATTGTGTTTATAACTTTTATATAATATGTTAATAAAAATATATGGATAATAAATATTTTGATCATTTATTTTTAATGCTTTTTGGATTTTTTTATTTTTTCTATTAAATTACTTTTGTTTTGTAATTTACATTATATTATATTTATTTTTTTAAATACATATTAATATTAGAAATATTTATCATTTAAATTTTATAATTTTTTTTTTTATATTCTTCAATTTTATGTTTTTTAATATAATAAATATAATAAACTATTTTATTTAGAAAAAAAACAAATAAATTTATATTATTATTATTACTATTTTAAGTAACAAAATTATCTAAAAACGTATTTTTTGTTTCTGAATATTATGTTTTATATTTAAACCATGTTTTTATCTTCAAAAAATTAATTTTTATTTAAATGCTATAATTTAGATATTAATGTTAAATAAAAAAATAAAACTTTTTTTATAATTTTTAATAAACTTTCATTTATTTTTATTTTATAAATTATCAAAAGAATTTTTTTATAAATATTTTTTAAAAAAGCTTTAATAATATTTTTTATTTAAATATTATAATATCTATTTTTTTTAAATAATAAATATGATTATACTAAATAGCTATTATTTTTTTAAAATATAGAAATTTAATTTTTTATAAGATTTATATCAAATATTTATAAACAAATATAAAATTGAATACTATTAGAAACAAAATAATTTTATTTAATAAAAAAAGCACATTTATTTTGATATATTCTTTTTAATTTATACATTTTTTTACACAATTAATTACTAAGTAATTAAATTCTATATTTTATAATAATTATAATAATGTTCCTAATATTCATGTCTATCCTAAATAATTATTGATTTACTCTTACTATAATAATTGCCTCCTCCCCTAGTATTTTATTTTTTTAGATTATGCAATATTTTTTATTATAGTAAATTATTAAAAATATTAATCATTTAAATTTAATATTTATTATTTTTACAACTAAATCTTATATTCACTAAAACCATAATTTCACTCAATTATTTAACATAAGAAACTATTACTAATTAAATTGCTACTATGATAAAAAGTAATAAAAACATTAAAATTTCGGAAAAGTAAAATTACATTAACTATTTAAATTCAACATTTTATTTATACAAGAAAAGAAATTAAAAACACCCACCCTCTAATTAAAGGGGAAAACATTTTTGAAATTAATGCCATAACTAAACTAATATAAAGCCTAAACAACTTTTTTCTAAGTGTCTTATTTATTCTAAAAATAATCCTAATTTTACATTTTTAAAAAATATATTTCTGGATTTTCTAATATATTTTTCTCTTACCTATAATTATTTATTTATAGTTAAATTATAGTCATTTATGGCCGCACTATCAATTATTTTGTTAGATTTTTAACTAATAAATTAACACTTTGATTTTTTATTTTAAACTGCAAGCTTCGTCTTAATTTATTTATTTATTAATGCGGGTATATATTCAAAAAGTAAATACATAAATGTACTTTACTTCATTCTTATATTCCAATTCTTCTTTACTCAAGCAAAAGCTGGCGCAAAAAAATTATAAACTAAAAAATCTGTGAAATATTAGATTTCCTAAAAAATCAAATAATTCAACTTTTAAAAATAAATGAGGATAATTTGCTTGCCTTATAATAATTTTATATATAAATGACTATTTCAATATAAAAAATTAATCGTATTTTTTTTTATTACTTTTTTAATAATTACATATTCCTTTTTTATATTTAGATTATTAAATCTTTACCGATTATGGTTTAGAGTTTTAAAATAGGGAAAAACTTTTTAAAAGAAAGCTCTTGGTTTTTTTATTCATATTTTTTAAAAAGAAATAAATGAAAAATAAAAGACATATATTTTTTTAATATTTTTAAAAAAATTATCAGAAAAAAAAATGATAATTGTTATAAAATAATATTATATTTCTTTAATAATTTTTTTTTCAATAATTTATTAAAAATTAATTTATATTTTAAAGTAAATATTTGGAATAATAAGATTTGTAAGTAAATAATATATATGTTTTTTTTATTTTATAAATATAATTATTCTTATTTAATTTTAATATTTTTTTAAATTTAATATTAATTAAATACTTGTATTTTTGAATTAAATTATATATAAAAAAATAAATAAAAAAAATTATAATTAATATTAATATTATAAAAAATATAAATAAAATATACCAAAATTAAAAGATTTGATAAAATATGATTAACAAAATAACAAAATAAAAAAATTATAAATATATATAAATAAAAAAAACTTATAATAAATATTAATATAATAAAAAATTTAAATAAAATATATCTAAATAAAAAGATTTGATAAAATATGATTAACATAATAACAAAAAAAAAATTTTTAGAAAAAAATAAGAAAAAAAATAAAAAAAAAAAAAATAATAAATTATAATATTATAAAAAATATAAATATAATATATCATAATTAAAAGATATGATAAATTATGATTAACATAATAACAAAAAGAAAATAAAATTTTTTTTTTATATATATATATAAAAAATAAAAATAAAAAATACTTATAATTAATATTAATATTATTAAAAATATAAATAAAATATATCATAATTAAAAGATTTGATAAAATATGATTAACATAATAACAAAAAAGAAAAAAAAATAATTATAAATATTCAATAAATATAAAAAAATTATACATATAAATATTAATAAAGGTATATATATATATATATATATATATATATATATATATATATATATATATATATTTTTATATACATATTTATATATATAATAAATTTGATAGATGAATAATAATATTTTTTACTTTTTATTTTAAATGATATTTTTTTTTTTTTACCATTTTTTTATATTTTATTTTTATCTTTTCTTGATGTATTATTAAAGATATACTTTACTTATACATATCTTTATATATTAAAAAATATGTTTATTTGATTCAATTTTATTAAAATACGTAATTATATTCAATATAATAAAATTTTTGCGATAATTTAAAAATAGTGGTTTAAATTTTTTTATTTCTGCAATTTTTTAGAAATGAGAACGATAATATTAAACATAATTTGCAAATATTATTTTTAATGTTTTCAATATATATTTAATATTTTGTATAATATTTAAAAATTTATATCAAAAATGAACATTGAATAAGAAATATATTATTTTTTTAAAAAATTTATATATACTTTACTAATTGAAATAAAATAAAAATTTTAAAAGATATTTGTATTTATATATAATGTTCAGAATATTTTTAGACTATTTATTTTATTTAGACAAAAGATACTTATCAATAAAATAAATTAAAATAAATAGTAAAAATATTCAGTATAATTTATATGAATATCCAAGAATTATATATTTATAACAATATTGGGTTTCATTTTATACTTTCATTAAAAACAATAAATATAAAATATTAAGATATGAATATCCTTTAAAATACATTCTGGATTTAAAAAATTAAATAATTGAGATAATTGACGAAATTTATATCTTAAAAAACAAAATTCATAAATATAAAAATGATAATAAAAAAAAATCAAATTATACATAATGAAATAAAAAAAGATATAAATAAATGGTATTATAAATAATAAAAGAAAATATTATAATATAAAATTTTAATAATATAAATATATAAAAAAAAAGAATCTTTTAATAATAATATTTAATATTAATAATATTTTTATAAAATAATTAGAATTTCAAGTATTAATTAATATATATAAAATATAAAAATAAATTTTCTAATTATCATAGAATATATATATATATATTAATATAAATAAAAATTTTCAAAATATCATATATAAAATATATATATACATATATATAAATATATATATATATATTTTTATATTTTTTTATATATTTATTAATTTTTACATAAATAAAAAATGATATCATTTCATTTCTAACATTCAATTTTTTTTATTATTTTTTTACAACTAAAAAAAGAATCATTTTATTTATAAATTAACCTCTTAATTTTTAACTGGTTTATTTTATTTTTTACTAAAACATAAGCACAATAATCCTTACAATACATTTTTATTTTTTTTCTATCTTTTTACATACGGTCTATAACTATCTACATAATATTTACAATTTTCATACCAAATATTAATTTAGAATTATTAATTAATACTTTACGCATTTAAATTAAAAGTTTCGCAGCATAATTCTAAATACTAAAGTGATGATTCCTATACTAATTCTAAATAAATAGTAGCTATCAATTCAATATCCTTGAGTATTTCTTTCGCGAATTCATCTGCATCTAGTATATTTTATTCTTTTATATCATTAGTTGTGCCTAAATAATTTTCGTTTTTGCAATTTTATTAATTTTAGAGCGATTTTTACTTAACTTTAAGTTTGTCTTATATTGTCTAAAAATTAATTAATTTAATGAAATCGCCTATTTCTATTATGCTCCTTATCATTTGTTAATAAATTACACTATATTCGTCTATATATTATTATTTAATCTTTTAATTTTTGGTTGATGCTAAATTTTCTATTAAACGTTTTGCCTTTAATTATTCGACTATATTTACAAATTATACCTTTTTTTATTCTAAAATTGTCTGGGGGTTTATTTTGTCCATGGATATGTTACTTGGTGGACCTTTATGGCTTTAATTAATTTATTGAATGCCTGATTTTATATTTAGTTAGGTTTGTAGGCCTTAGGCCACGGCACTATTTTATATTTTTTCGATTTCCATATTATTTTTTACGATTATAGGGTGTTCAATTATATTTAAATTAACACTTTACAATTACATTTTGTTTTTTTTGTGAGCTTTTTTTTATATTTTATTAATATAAACATATATTTTTATTTGATAAAGAATTATTTTTTTTTAATATTATTTCTAACAAGAGAAAGAATTTGAAGATTAACTTGTTTTTTTATAATAAATTATAATAATATATTGTAATCTTTTTTTTATTATTTTTAGTTTTTTCAATATAAAAAAATTAATATTATTTATTTTTAGAAAAAAAAATATTAATTTTAATGTAAAAATAAAGATAGGATCAGTAGATTTATTGTATTTAATTTACTTGAAATTATGAGTATATTTATATTATTTTTTTTAATTCTTTTATTGTATATAAAATAAGAAATTATTTTTTAGATTGATATAAATTAATTTAATTTTTACCAATTATTTTAAATTTGGAATTTATATTTATTGAAATTTTATTAATTAAAATAAGGTTTTTTAATAATGTATTTTTATTAAATTATAAGATATATATTATATGTTTATTTTGATTATATATATTATTTATATATTATATATATTTAATGATTAAGTTTTTTAAAATATACAAAAATTTATAATAAAAATATTTGAAAAAAAAAAAATTATACATTTTTTATTTTTATTAAATAAAAATATAAAATAATAAATAATAAATATAAAATTTATATATATTAAATATTAATTTAATTTACTATAAAATTTTTTAGTTTATAAATAAAAATATAAAAGACTTAATTCAAAAAAAAAAAATTTAATCACAAATTTATAATTAGATAATAATATCCATAAGAAAAATATCTTTTATACAAGATTTTGCTCTATGAATTTGATTTACATAAGTATAGCGAAAAAATCTATTAAAAATATAAGAAATAATAACTAGATATTTAAAATATAAACTAGTAAATATGAATAACTAGTAAAAAATGCAAAAATTTAGGTAAGAATTCTAGAAATTAAATATTAATTATAAAAAAATAAAGATAAATTAGATAAATTTTTAAAAATAAAATAAATATAAATATATTATTTTAATAAAAAAATAAACATATAATTTTAATTACTTTTTTAAAAAAATAATAATAATGATAATAATAAAAACAAGTAAATTAATTTAATAAAAATGCTCATATTTAAAGAAAAATTTTAACATTGAAAATAAAATAAAAATACGAAAATAAATAAATAAAATATATAATATATTTATGAATAATAGTATAGGTTATTATAGAATAGATTAAAACAAAAAAACTACATATATTATTTTAAATATAAATAAATATAAAAATTTAAGAAATATATTAAATTAAATATTTATTATTTTATTATAATTAATGTTTATTCATTTGTTTTAATTAAAAAAACTTTATTTTAATTATTTTCTAAATTGAATTAATTAATTTATAGATTCTTAATCTTATTTTCTAAAAAGTTTTAAATTATATTAAATATAAGGGAGACTTCTTAATTATTATTCTTATATAATTTATTATATTAATAATTAAAATTATTTTTAAATATTTTCTTCTTTATATTTATATTTTTATTTTATTTAATATGATTTACAATTTAAATAGTTTATTTTATATTATATAATTATGATTTTTTAAATATTAATTTTTATTAATTTATATGCTTTTTTTTTACCAATTTATATTTTATTTATTTATAAAGATATCCAAAATAAGAATTTAGACATTAAATATATTTATATATATAAATATGTTAAATATATATATATTTATATTTATATATATATATATATATTTATATAATTTTTATATTTAATATTTAATTAATTATCAATTAATATTATTTACTTTTCTTATATACTTTTTATAATTTAGAGTATAGACAATAATTCACATTTTAACCTAAATTCGAATTTTAACTATTAATAAGTTTTTCAGGTGAACTTCAAAGATTTTTTTTATTTATTTTTATTATACTTTAATAATATACATTATATTTTTTTTTTTAACACCTTTAACAAATCTTGGTTTTAAAATTGAGGACCATCTATATAAATATTAAAATAAATTTCGATTTTTTAATATATTAAATTTTAAAGACAAATTTTATTCTCAATGTTTTTATATTAATTTTAATAATATTTTATCTACTTCTGGTGTCAATTTGTTTTTATTTTTATTAATGGTTATACTATTGTAGTTTTTATTACTATTTCAGAGTTTTTGTTAGAAAAATATTATTTAAAGCCAAATCTGTACTATATAAAAAAAAATATATGTTAAGCTTTTATAAATTAAATTTAAATAAAGGATCTTATTTGTCATATCAAACTATTTTTTTATTTAATAAAAAAACATATTTTGAAAACATATATGTTTATGATTTATATTATATTAAAGTTTTGTTTGGTAATTGAATAAAATTAATCATATCAATAATTAATAAAAAGATTTCTAATAATAAATTTGTTAAAAAAAAAAAAAAAAATTAAATTTATATGTTAAATTTTAATAAAAATGTTATTAAATGAATAATGAGTATTAAAATTTTAATAAAATAATATTAAAATTGTATTAATATAATAAAAATAAAAAATGAAGCAAAAATTTATAAAATTATGAAATTTAAGAATTTCAATATATTATATATATGTTAAAATAAATAAATATATATATATATATTATTATATATTTTATTATATATTATTTTTATTTTTTTAGTTTTTAAATGATACTATCTTTTATTTTAATTCATAAATTTCAATCTTTCTCACTAACCTAACTTATGTCAAATATATTTTCTGATATACTTTACGTTTTTTTTAATTATTACATTTCTTAAATATTATTCTAATTTAATTAATCTTATCCTAATATTCCCATTTTCTATAATAATGATTCTTTTAAATAAATACTATTATTTAAACTTTCATTCAATTAAATAGAATTTCTAGCTCTTTTTAAGCTTTTTTTCATTCCTAAAGCAATCATAAAAGAAACTGTAAGCTATGTACTTTATTTAATAGCCTTTTCTAAATCAGTTTTATTAACTTCTAGTGTATGACTAATATCATTTCTTAATTTAATTTTACCATCGAAGGTTAACCAAGGATGTTAAAGCATCTCTCTTGCAGTTATTCGCTTTTCGGCATCTTTTTCAAGCATTCTTTAAATTAGATCTTTGACTTAAGGATTTAATTAAGGTTCATTTGGGTAAAAAATACTAAATAAATTTATAAATATATATATATATACATATATTATATAATAATACCTCTTATTACATATTTCATCTTTTAAATCAATAATTTTTTTTTCTTTAAAAGGAATAAACCCATATATCATATTATACAAAGTAACTCCCGTAGCCCATATGTCTAAAGGTTTAGCTTAAAACTATTTTTCTAATAAAAATAAAATAAAAATCTGAAATAAGATATATATATATATATATATATATATATATATATATATATATATATATATATATATACTTTCCCAAGATTCAGGTGCCATAAAAGCTTTAGTTCCTGCATTGGATGTTGTTTAATCATTTTAATCATCTTCAATTAATTAAGAAATGCCAAAATCTGCAATTTTAATATTATCTTGTTCATCTACTAATAGATTATCAGGTTTAATATCTCTATGAATGATATTCGCAAAATTATGCACTTTTATGTATTAATAATTTTTTTTTTAATTTTTTTTTTAAAAAAAAATTATTAATATATAAATTTACTTTAGTTTTTTTTTTACTATAATCTAGTGCTAAGGCGATTTATCTCATGTATTTTTAACATTGTTCTATAGAAATGGTTTTCGGCTCTATATTTTTATTTTTAGTTTTGCCATTTTCATCGTATATCTATTTATATAATAAAGGATCGCTTTTTATAAGCTATTTCTTGAAATATCCAGAAGAAAGTACTGATCCTATTTACATATATTCGATAACCAAATATAGCTTATTATCTTCTGAATCTTCGATTACTTCGTAGAGTTTTACAATGTTTGGGTGATCTACTTTTTTCATTATGGCTATTTCTTATTATAAAAGGGTAAATGCGTTCATTTTAACAGACATTAGCTTTTTTTTTAGTTTTTCTTTATTAGCTATTTTTATGGCGAAGTATTTTTGGGTAATTTCATCTAAAGCGAGTTTTACTTTTCCACAATTTCCTCTATATTAATATATTTTTATATTTATATATATATATTACTTTCCAAGCTCTTTTATAAATGTATAGTTGTTTATTTATTTTTTACCGTCTTCGTTTATTTCTTTTTATATAATGGTAGTATGTAATACTGAATTTTTAGATATATTTAATTAATTATCATCTTAAAATAACAATGGACTAGCATTAGAAATTCGTTTACTTAAATAATAATTATTATTAGGATTATTATGAATATTATGATTATTATGATTATTATTATTATTAATATTATTATTATTATTATTATTATTGTTATTATTGTTATTATTATTATTATTGTTATTATTGTTATCATTGTTATTATTGTTAATATTATTATTATTATTATTGTTAATATTATTGTTATTATTATTATTAATATTAGTATTTTAGTTCATATTTTAAACTAAAAATTCGATTTCAGTATCTGTAGTTTATTTTTATATTTTATTTTATTATCCATATTTGCTTAGAGATTCTGCCATTTATATATTATTTTATTTATTATATATAAATTATTAGCCGTATTTTAATATAGGAGATTATCCTTATATAGTATCTGTCATAGATTCAGAAGTATTAAACTTTTCAATTTAAGTTTATATATTATCTATTTATTAGTTTTTTTAATTCTTTATTATTAATTTTTTTATACTATATTATTTTCTTCATTTTATTATTTTTAACTAAATTAACTTTTTTTATAATTCTTTGTATTACTATCTTAATCATTCGAATAATTTATACTATCACTTTAAGTTATTTTATTGATTAATATAATCTCATTAGTTATATTTTGTTCTTAATTACTCTTATTTGGTGGTAAAGTTACATCTTTTTAATCATTTTCTTCATTTATTATTAAATCTAGTAAATTAAAATCATTTTCTTCTTCTGATTATGTATCTTCTTCTTCTGTTTATGAATTTTCTTGTTCAGTTTAATTATTTTCTTCTTCTTCTTCTTCTGAATTTTCTGATTCAAATGATTATTTAGAATTAATCAAATGCAATATATCTTCTTTTTATATATATTCGGTTATTTATTAAAAAACTTATAAAGGATATTAAATAATCTATTATTATTCTTATTTTTGTTGTTGGTTTAATTTTGGTTTTTCTTAATCGGTTTATTATTGCTTTTTTTTCTTATATAAATTTGTCTAGACATCCTCTTTTATTTCCAAAGTCTTTATTTCGTCTATTAAATTTCCAAATGAATCGGTTGGCGGAATTATTTTTATTTATTTAATAGAAGTTTATATATTATTTTCATTATTTTTTTCAGATTCTAATATATTTTCTTTAGATTTATCATCTGACTTTTATATTTATTGTTGATAATATAATTCAAAACTACTTTATTAACTAGTTTAACGAGTTTTTTTATTTATTTAACCATTTCCCATAATTTTAAAAAATATTTAATAAATTATTAAATTTAAAATTTATAATGATTTTTATGATAAAGTATAATAAAATAAAATATTGAAAACAAAACAAAAAATAATAAAATAAGGATTTGTAAGATAAATAAATTTATAATTAATATTTATTAATTAAATAAATATATATATTATTATAAAATAATATATTAATAATTTTAAATTATTATTATTTTTATTTAATTTTATTAGAAATTTTAAATTAATTTTAAATTTTAATATTTGTTTATGTAATGTGTTTTAAATTAATTTAATTTTTTATATATCTATATTATTAATTTGCTTAAATATTTAAATAATTATAATTATCTTTTTTTTTTAAAAAAAAAAAAAAAAAAACCACATTTATAAAAAAAAAAAAAAATATTAATTAATAATACTTTATTCATTTTTTTTTTACTTTTATATTTTTTTTTATACCTCTACAACTAAAAATAATATTAAATTATATAACTTCTTATTTTTTTTTTCGTATTAAATATGCTTTTTTTTTTTTTGTATTATATAAAATATTCTTTTATTCTAAATGATAAGTTTCTTTTTAAATAAACACTGCTATTTATAATATATTGAAAAAACATAAGACTCATTTATTTTAAGATATATATTAAGTCAGAAAAAAACATTATTTAAGGAAACATACATTTATATTTCTTTAAAATAAATTTGTTTAGTCTATAAATTAGACAATAATTTAATAAACCATTTTATATAGAAAATAGAACATTAGTTTTATGTATTCAATTCATTAAAAAAAAGCAACATTAACTTTATATTTGTTTTAATTTATATAATATTGGTATAATGATATTTTCAATATTAATAATAATTAATGCTGGTTATATAAAAAAGACTATATATCCCTTTTCTAGTTAATTATATCATGTTTTTATATTAATAGGTCTTGGCATTTTTATTCGCTATATGAGTATTTATTCATATTAAATTCATAAAAATTTAAAAAATCTTATTTCTTTAATTTAATTTCTTAGTATCTAAAGACAAATTACTAGTACATTTTAAATCACTTTTTTATTTAGAAAAAATATAGCTTATTAATATTATAAAAATATAAATAAATAATTTAATTTACTTAATATTCCTATATTTTTAATTTTAAACACTAATTTAAATAGCAAATGTCATAAATGAAATATTTTTCTTAAAAAAAAATAAAACAAAAAAAACAATCAAATTTAACTTTTATTAATATTAAATTCTCATTTTAGTTACATTTAGAAAATTTTTAGGTATTATATTCATATATTTTAAATAAAAACGAAAAAATTATATATATATTTATAGTCTATTTTAAAATATATATATATATATATATATATATATATATATATATATATATATATATTTATATATATATTTGTATTTTTATTTTTTTTCTTTTTTATTAAAAATAAATAACATTTTTAATATTTCTGTGTTTATATTTTAGAAAAAAAATAGTCCAAACTATTATTTATTAAAATTTTATTTTATATTTAAATGGATTTAGTGTTTAATATTATTTATATATCAAATAATATACTTTATATAATATTTAATTTTGATTATATTGTATTTTATAAGTATATGTTTGATGTATTTATATTTTATTTTAAATAAATTATTAATAATTTTTAATAATTGGAGTACATATTAGTTTATATTTTTTAAAAAGATAATAATTTATTAATTTAAATAAGTAATTTTTAAATTATGAAAAAAATAATTAGAAATTAATTTTTATGATTAAAATATTTGTTTTCTTTTTAAAAAACTATCAGAACAATAAAATTTAAGAAAAATACTAAAAAAGGAATTACATATTATATGCATTTCTTCGAAAATTATTTTAGCATGTTTGTACAAAAAATAATATCCCGATTAAAAAAAATTCATAATTATTAGATAAAAAAACTTCTTTTTATGAAGTATATAAAAATATGTATAGTTATTATATAAATACAGATGTAATATGCAATTTGATTATTAAATATTTATTTTAATAAAATAAAATATTTATGTAATCAAAGTATAATTATATATACATATATAAAAAATACTAATTATATTTTAATTTTAAATATAAAAATTAATATTTTTAAAGAAATATTAATTATTTTAATATTAAAATAAAATAAAATAATATATATTATTATATAATATTTTATTTTTAATATATGTAAATAAATTAATTCATTAATTAATTTTAAATTATTAATAAATATAGATATTCATTTTTTCTAAAAAAATAATTATAAAATATGTATATTTTAAAATTTATAATAAAAATTTTAAAAAAATAAATAAAAATATAAATAATGATATAATATATTTAAATAAAATTTTTAATATATAAAATATTATTTTTAAATAAAAAAATTAATTATTTTATTTTTAACTATTAAAACAAAATATTATACTTAACAAAATAATATACAAATATTAATTAAAAAAATAGAACAATATATATTTAATAATATATATATTTATATTACAAACATATTTTAAATATTATTTATTTATTAATTGATTCATTTTTTTAACTTATATATTTATTTTATTATATTCAAATTTTATTTAAATAATAATATAATTTGTTACAAATTTATTTACATTATTTAATAAAATTAAATAAAATATTAATAATATTTAATTTATTTCTTAAAATAAAAGTAATAAAATATTATAATTTAAAGATATATATACTTAAATTAATTATATAAAAGTTTATTTTGATATTAGAATACCGTAAAATTTCTTAATACTAGATTTTTTAAAAATTAATTAAAAAAATAAAGAAGTAAATATTACTAATATTTTATTTGTATAAATAAAATTAAACAATATTAAGATTTATAAAAAAAAAATTAAATATATATAAATATA